AGAGAGTGGAGGGTGTTTGGGGGAGGGGGGGGGGGGGGGGTAGATTGGGGTGTTAATTGATGGGGATAAAGCATTTGTATGCATGGTAAGGTTTATACTTGGAATATTGTGTAAATATTAACATCCAAAATACATGGATTATCTTATTTTCTGACTTGTTTAGCTTAGAGAGAGAGAATCCCTATTCAAAATAATGTGACATATATTTTAAGAAATATAGTTACATATACACTACCATTCTGTTCTGACCAAACATGAGTTCTAAGATTGTACATAATTTTTCCCCAATTAGCCTAGTTTCTTCAAGACTATGACCAACTCCCTGAAGCAACTTCCCAAATTCCTTCCATGATATATCCACAGCTGTATTCATCAGCGAAGTTTTTATGCGCTATTAATATTAGGGATTCATATACTTTTTCTTGTTTTTGAAACTTCAGTTTATTGAAACATTTATTTAGGACTTAGGAGCCATTTTGTATCACTGATCTGTTTTTTATCAATTGATATTGGTAATTACTACTAATTAGTATCTTAAGCACTTGATCAGGGACCTTATCCATGCTTAATTGGTTGCTGGATGTATTTTGACTGTATTAAACTACAACAAACTATAATGCTTCTTGTTCATTTCTGGTGCCTCTATTGAGATTTGAGAATAATGCTTGTTGTATTTGGTGCCTTTTTTTATAAGAAATTTGCATCAAGTGGCAACAAAATCTAAATGTGCCATTGAACACAAAGTTTTCCTTCTTAATACAAGCTTGGAGAGAGGGATGGTGTTCCCAATTGTGAGTGTTTATATGAACATCACTTTTAGCCTATGAACTAATAATCTCATTAACTCTCTCTACTGTCTTGTTGTCTTGTTGATTGCATCGTTTCTATTTAATGGTGCCTTTAATCCTTCAACGAACTAGTTTATCTCATCTTCCCTATCTGATATTGTTTTGTGAAATATGTGCCCCACTGGTATCAGTGAACAAGTCAGTTAGAAGAGCCTTTTACTTTTTCCTCAGTGGAATCAACACACACACACACACACACACATATGCACGCACACAAACCTACAGGTCCCCCTAAGACCTTGATTTTCAAACCTCTTCATTCCAAAATATACATCACAATTCAATTGAGCCAGAGCCCAGGAGAGCCACTGTTGAAGTTAAGCTTCAATTTTTATTTGGCGGTTAGCTTTGGGTCTGGGTTTGCCATATGAATAGATGTTATTGTCCTTCATTTCCTAAGTTACTGGGACTTACTAGTATTAAATTTTTGTTTTTCATGCTATCATATTTAATACTTTTGTATTACTTATATCATTATAACTTAGTAATATTAATATGTATTATTCTTGTAATATCATAATATCTAATATTCATAATACTTATAATTTATTGTTGAGTGTGCATTTCTGAAAATAACAACAACAACATTAATACTTTAATAATATTAGCATATTATTATTATTTATTATATTGTAGTACATTAATATTACACATTACATTTAAAGACTTATTATATGGTTAATGGCATTTTGTTTTAGCAATATTTTGTTACAAATATTATTATCTTATAATAATATTCATGTTATATTCTTCTAGTATATATTATTTAAGTATTGAATATATATGTGTGTGTGCATACATGCGTGCCTTTGTGTGGCTCACACCCCAAGCGAATAAAAGATTGCTCATGTATAATCAGTTTATGCATAAGTCAGGTTTTAACTTTTTTTTGCTTTGAGAAGTCTTTTTGCTTGGTAATAATCTGATTTTGTGAATAAAAAAGTAGCCTAACAATTTTCTCAATTGAGTTAACTCTTGAGTATGCAAAACCTGAGTTTACAAACTCAGGGATCCAAATGGCCCATAAAGTAAGAAACCCCAAATTGTCTAGTGAGAAATTTAAAAAACAAGACTCCTACCAGTGACATGTTAGGAGCTTATTTCATATCACATCATCTGACCAGAAGTATTTAAAAACTCAGTGAGTCCAACTCGGTTTTGTTCAAGTCACTCAAATTCGGCGGGGAGCAAGTTCCAGATGACCCAACTTAGTTGACTCAAGTATTGACTGAGTTTGGATGAGTCTAACATAATCTTGACCAGTCTATCTGCGTATTTAAGAAAACTAGTGATTCTCATGCGAGCCTTGACTGATCAAACTCAGGACTTAGCAAACCAATTGGACCTGCCCCTTGCCTGGTACCGTGTTTTCAAACACTGTTGACCATGTACTATGTCCCTCGATGGGATGATCAATATGTTCATGAAATAGCTCGTATAATAAAAACTCAACAAGATTATAAAAAGTATGTTTGTTTCATCCATCATAACTTCACACTAAAAAGTATGTTTGTTTCATCCATCTCCTCACAATAACTACTATATTTAATTTTTCTAGTGCAAGATGGGCCAAACCATGTTAATACCAGAAAATCACTAATAAGATATGATCTTTTAGTTATCTTATAGACAGTAACAAGTATCATATCCTTAAGGGAGTCAAGCTACGAATATTTATCAGAGAAAAAGAAAGAGAGGAAAACCATTAAATCTTAGAGAAGAACCAAATACCATTCCAACAATCAAGTCTATGAGCATAACCAAAGTCATGGCCCCCATTATAAGTAGCAATGGTAAATTGGAGCTTGTATGAGAGATGCCACGAACTCAGAATAGATCATGCTTGAGATTGAAAATGTCTTGAAAGAAACAAACTGCTTTATATTATCTTCTTTTTTCATAAAAGTTAGCAAGTCCAATGACTTTGAAACTGGTATCTAATGGAAAAACAAAACAGATCAAAGGATCACCAATCTACCAGTGATCCACTTTAGAATGGACTGAGCCCCTGTATGTTACTATATTGGTTAACATGCAGTGTAATGGAGTCTCAAGACACAAACTTTACCAGCAAACTAGATCTATTGAGAGGCTCTACCCGATTCTCTTTGCTAAGGTTGTTTTCAGTTGGTCTATAGAAATGCTCTACCAACAAGGCCCTTTGGAAGGCTTTAGGGTAGGCAACCAAGGCCCAAAGCGTCCTTCGCGGACTTTCGCTTGAACTTGGGAAGCGGCGCCGTAGAGACGGTTTTTCACCAACTTCTTCTTTTTTTTATTTTGGGGCTCTTTTACCCATGACCTTTTGGTCATGTCCACTCTTTTGTCCATTTTTACTCATGATTCCCTTTCGGGTTTTCACCGGGCCCGGTTTTTATTCACGGAACTCTTTTACTCGTGGTTTCGTGACCATGCTCGTCTGTCAATTTTACTCGTAGCGTTCCTTTGTTCAGGTATAAACCATGCCCGTTATTTCTCTTTGTTTTTTTTGTGAGGGCGTATTTAAGGTCATGCCATGCTTCCAATATGCCAGTGATTACCATCGTCTTTTGTAATGCAACCCAACAACAAATAGATACCCTGTGGCTTTTCCTAAGATGCCTGGAGGTTGCTGTAGGACTCAAGATCAATATTGCGAAATCACAGATCATGGGAGTGACAACTAACCCCCAGACTGTTCAAGCTCTTGCCAGCCATTTGAGCTGCAGGGTTGATTGTCTTCCCACCAAAAACCTGTGTTTACCTCTCTGTATTGGTAAGCTGATGAAACAATTATGGAACACTACTATTTAAAATTTTGAATGCAAACTATTGGCATGGAACGGCAGATTTCTCTCAATGGCAGGTCGCCTAACACTAGTCAAGGCCACCCTCTCCAATGTCCCTGTTTACCAACGGCCCCTCTTCCAAATTACCCTGTCATAGTTCATCTTGGGAGACTTATGAGTAACTTTGTTTAGCAGGGTGGGAGACAGCCACAAGTTTTACCTTACAGCCTGGGACAAGGTTTGCCTTGCCAAAAAGTAGGGGCCCTTGGTATCCCAAGCCTCAAAAAATGCACCATGGCTCTTCTTGGAAAATGGTGGTCACTTTGCCGCTCAAGAGAACCACCTATTGCAGGAAGAAGTTCGACCAAAACACCATTATGAGCTTATTCCTGGTTGCCGAGCGGTACTTCAAATGGATGTTCCTTTGGGGTGTGGCGTTCCTTCGTTGCCACCTTCAAGCACTCTCAGTCGATATTCAATTCAGGGTGAGATCCGCCGGAGTAAACTTTTGGACTAAGTTATGGATTGGCAGCTCCACTCTTGAAGTCCACTTCTGCAAACTCTTCCTGTTGGCCATGGATTGGGAAGCGCTACGGTGGCTGATGATTTACTTCGGCCTTTAGGGGCATCAAGGGTATGGAGCCCAAATTTCAGAAGGGCACTGCAAGATTTGACGACATTATCAGCCTTGCTACAATCAATCTACCTACCTGTAGCAGGTGAGGATTATATCATATGAATGCCTTCTCCTTCTTTACGGTCTCATATTTCTATCACAAACGCCTTCAACCACCTACCTGCCCAGATCACCACCTTCTTTATCCAACCAAGCTTGGATTACCTCCATGCTCCCAAAAATCCATGTCTTCTGCTGGATTGCCATATCCAAGAGGACCCTTGGTACTGACCAGCTACAAAAACAACTCTTCAACTGGTCCTTGGTAGTGCCTCCCTCCATCCCAAACCATTTCCAAGTGTACACATTCGTTCCAACCGGTGATTTGGGTCAGAAGAAACTCTAAAACCTCTGAAAAGGAGAATACGGCCAACACCCAAAAGGATCTCATCGGATCCTTGTTTATTTTTTAGGCAAAGAACAGAAAAACTTTCAAAACACCATGTCACATGGATTTCCTTCACAAATGGCAGCCTTGCTAGAAATAAGGCCCATGCAAATCCATCGGTCTTCACTATAGGCACATCAAGCTCAACTTTGACAGTTGTTCTCCTGGCAACCCTGGTCTGGCAATCTACGATAGCCTATTTAGAGATCATGAAGGCAGCATCTACTCTCTTATTTGGGTTTTACTGGCCACATTGACTCTACAAAAGCTATGGTCAAAGCCCTTATTGTGGGCATTAAAATATTAGCACCGGATATCTACCTACTCAACAGGCGAGGGCAACTCTTAAAGCATCATCTCTTGGGCGTTAACGGCTTATACCTGCTAATGGCAACTACAGCATATCTTTTCCCACATATTTTATTTATGCATGCCTAGACACATCTCCTTTCAGTGTTCGTGGCGCAAGGTAAACAATGGCCTTGTGAAAAATGAAGCCAATTAAGAAACTGGCTATGGGACCAATTTAGCACCTTTTTGAGCTTGGGTCCCCTATTTTTTTTGTTTACACTACTGGAAGGGTTATCCACCTGGTTTTTTGTTATAGAGACGCAATAACCCACTGCTGCAACTCTTCTTACTTTTAAAATTCCTATCCTTAACTCTATTAAAAAAGACGCGAACTCTACCAGGTCAGTCCCATCACCCTAGTGAGGATTCTTCATATAGAACTATCAAAATAAAATGTAACTAAATGTGTACATCAATAAAAAATCAGTGTTGTTACCACATTTAAGTGAGTCGAAAAGGCCGATTCTAACATAGTTGAAGATTACGAGCATTACAAAGGTATAAGGTAAAGTAAACTACATATCAAATATATACCTTCCATTGCAGCAAGAATTCACTTCCATAAGAGAGATGGTCAAATAGAAAGAGAAGTGAATCCACATTGTTTAGCAATTGAAAGATTCTTTGGAGGCTGGCATGAATTAAGCTTGAAGTCACATCCTTCAAATAAATCATTAGCAATAGTACAATGAAATCAATAGAATATATATATATATATATATAGTACAAGAATTCTCCCTTTTGCTCTATTAAAGGTCATATTCTCAGTAAGGCCATAAATCTCCATATCTTTTCGGACTACTTCCAACCACGTCCTTTTAGGGTTACCCCTTGCCCTTTTCAGTCCTTGCACTTGAACTAACTCACACCTCCTAACAGGTGTTATACTTGCTGTGCGACATCTTCCTCAATTTCTCCATTTGTATTCTCCAATGAGGCAAGAAGCATTTAATTTATTCTATTTAAATTAATGTTTTGGGTCGGCAGGGGGAAAGTTCGGTCACATTTTTCTTTAAATTCTATGGGCTAAACTTGTGGCTTGCATCTATTAGACATGGTTGCCCAAATAAGTAGTCCTTATCGACTCCAAGTGACCAAAGAATTGCTTTTCAACGCTACATAGCTCAGAGGCCACTTGTGCCTCTTCTATGGTTTTATCATGTGCCGTGTAATCATATGCACTCCCTCTCTCTCTCTCTCTCTCACTCTCT